TTCGCGATGTCGTAAAACGCACGTCTCAATCTGCACGATTCTCATTAACCCTGGCGATATCGCTCTGCCCTTTTTTTTTCTCCCTTTGTATCGACGCGAGGGGAAATTACATAAAAAGCGTTAGCTTCGCGATATAAGGATGATCGAATGGTTTCTCGACGAATTTGGGAGTGTCACGACGCGGTCAATATAAACGAAGGAGGAAACGGTGGTTTCCCCGCAATTTGCATGCCGACGAGATCGATGTTCGAGGAACTGGTCGCCGTGAAAATCGCCGACAACAGAAATTACTCCGACACGCACGAGCCCCTCCGAGAGAGCACATATACGCGAGGCCTATATCGCGGCGCACGTGCATCCACTGTGCAGCGAGCGGGAAGTACTATATCGTAGTCGACTTCCGTCGCTATTAGCGCACGTCAGAATTGGTTTTCCGCGTGAGATAAGCACCGCCGGTACGATTAGAGCTGCGAGAGAACAGACGTTACGGAGACCGAGAACGCTTCCCCGATAATCATTACCATCCGCGTCTTTCGCATGAAAATAATATGAAATTTAATTATCCTTTCCCCTTCAACGGGGAGCTCAACCGACGAACGAAAGTCGATCGGATGAAGAAGTCATTCGGCTAATTTGTTGGTGCAAATTGAAAAAGCCCCCGTCGATTCGATATCGAAAGATCAAAAGTTCGCAATCTCGACCTTCATCGTCGTGTCTAAGACTGGACGTGCACGGGATATCGAGGAGAAACGAGAACGGAATGAAGATAAAGGGGAAGAGGAAGAACGATGAGGGAGAGATAGCTTTCGGGACGGAGGAGGGGAGGTAAAAGGAACGAAGAGATAAAAAAAGAGGAATAAGAACGAGAGGATACCGGGAGAAAGAAGAAGGGACCGCGCGCGGTGAGCGCCGGTCGGCCGGTATATAATAAGGCAGCCGGGAGAGGATAGCACTGAAATGAGATGGTTTCGTCGGCAGCTTTGTCCGGCGCCATGTTTAACATAGCACCACCTCATCTACGTGGCGCAGCGACTCGGAGACCCCGCGGTTTTTACACACGCTCTCTCCACTTCTCGTCGCTCAACCTCCTCCTTCTCGTCCGGCAGCAGCGCCGCGAAAAAGGACGAGTAGGAGGACAATGGAGGAGAAGGAGGAGAAGAAGGGTGAGGAGGGCCAGTGTGTATACAAATCAGATCCTCGCGCCCTTTGTGAGATCGTACTCCGCCTACGGTGATCCGAAACGTTGTCCGGCCGTGCCGTAAATAAATTTCAGGGAACGATTACGCTGAAAGATGCGTTATCGCGACTTGTCTAACCAGAGGATCCAAAATTGACTCCACTCTGACGCATATCGATAATATTCTCCGTTTCTTAATACCGCGCAAATTTCTCTCTTCTCAAATATGATTGTTGGGTAGAAAAAAAAGTGAATGTATAGCATCCATTCCGTGGATACATTCTTCTGTCGTTTATCCGGCAAAATTGGCAGCGTGTAATTCGCGACGTGACGAGAATTTCTGGAAAAAGCGTGCATAAAGGAACGAAAGAAACGAACGGCAGAGAGACCCACATTCCGCGAAAAATTCGCATAGCACCGCTCGGTAGTGAGTCAGTACCGGATCTCCTTGAGCGCTTTGCAACGGGCGCAAATCTGCTCGTTGCTGCCCATACCTTTCCATCTACCTGCTAACGCCTGCCCCTCCCCTCTCTCTCTTTCCTTCGATTTCTTGTCGCATCTCCGTCGATCCGCAACACCGGCGGCGGTGGTTGCAGCGCAACAGAAACTGCGAAACGTTTCATTCATGATTCTTTCAGCACCGTTGACCGGAACTTATGCCGCCGCGAGTAAAATTACGTTTCCTTGGAAAGGACGCGAACATGGCGGAGCCCGTCGCTTGAATTGCGCAAAATTTCATTTCCATCGCGACTACATAGTCTCGATGACGTTCTCCTTGACCGGGACGCCGTGACAACGATCGGACCTTTTTTATCCCGCCCATTGCGGATATTGCAATCGATAGCGCGCGGTCAGGAAAAGCGTGTTTAGTCATTGGATCACGTAATGGCCACGCTTTAAGAGACGATCGACGCGCGCGTTTCGGACACCCTGTACGTATACAACGAGCGCTCCGGGCCTTCCAGTGCAGCTGAAAATATATGCAGGACCAAGGGGGTTAATCGCAATCGTCGTGAGAATGGTATGTCGTTCGTTACGAACTGGTTGGGCCAGAAAAGGGCATACTAGGGTCGTCCAAGGCCGAGCGATTTTTCCAAACGAGCATCGAGAACGTGTCCTTCTCTCTCAGTGTTCTCGAAACCAGCCCGGTAGCGCCAAAAGCGCGCCGTTGTTCTCTCTTATTAGCTCTTATTAGGATAGAGGATTTACCAATAATGGCCGCACCGTGGGAAGTTTCACTTCCGAAATGGTTTATTACCGTCGCTTTTCGATCGCTTTTAAGGTGACGGCGCTAATTACCTTTCGCAACGCGCCGTTCCCAGTCGCGGAGAAAATCCCGAGAAAATCGCTTTCGTTGCGCTATTAATTGCCCCGGTTTCTCGTCGATGGTTCAACCACTCGTCGGCAACATTCTTATCTCCGCTATCGCCGGAAACATTGTTGCCCGATTTCCGAGATTGCCGGCGGACGGTTACTCGACGCTTAATTAAATGTACTTTTCATCCCTACGCCGAGAATTTGATCTTCCGCTCAGTTGTTGACTTTGCGATGTTACCTTCTTTNAAAACAAAAAAAAAAAAAAAAAAAAAAAAAAAAAAAAAAAAAAAAAAAAACTCGCATTTCGAGTAAAAACGCATGGCCGGGAAGGTTGTCATCTGGCAGACTGCGTTTAAAATTGCTCGAATTAATTCGTCGCCTAGTGAGCGATTATTACAGCGGTATTAAATGTATCATTAGCGGTGTTACGTCTCTCTTATCGGTATAGATTCTCCGCGACATCCGTTGCAACACCGTCGCAGAGGAATTTCGGTCCACTTTCTTAATTATTACGCACGAGAAGGAAAGCGGTCCATTCATTCCACAGATTCTTAATGGGCCCACCGACCGACTACGAGGGACGACTCTCGACGTCATTTGAATGCGTCGGAATGCCGCTCCGTTCGTGTCGGCGCATCTGATGTTAAGTTAGGCCCCGTATATACGCGTGATCATACCGCGGTTATACGAGTGGACTCGAAGCTTGCCGAGGCAATTCAACGCTTTGCGCGTTTAAATGGACGTTAAAGAAAAGAGACGCAACTGATTTCTAATCGGCAGATAATTAATGATTCAATTAATGTTTCGAACACGCTGCCGAGAAAATTTTCGGAAATATATTGTTCAGCGGTAAAACACAAGGGGCGACGAATCGGGACAACACGCGACTGGTCCCTCGATGGGCACCTCGTGAATCTCAACGCTGCTCGCGAGTCACACTTGATTATGATGGTTTGGTGTAAAGTTGCGGGCGAAATTCTCAAAAAGCAGACGCGAAGAAAGCGGACAGTGCGAGTGAAGAGCACGAAAGAAGAAGCGGAACGCTGTGGAATGGAATGCGCGGCGCCTAGGGCTCGTCGGATTCCAGGGCCACACGTGCCCTTCCCTTCCCGCGCGCCCGCAGGCACCGACCGAAGCCAATAAACTTCGCCTCCAACTGGCGGTCGCGGCCGACCACCATAGAGCTCATTCATGGAGACCTCCTACCACGCGAGTCGGTTCGCCTTGTTCTGACCATCTCGATCATGAGGCTCGGTGTGAGTACTTCACGCTGCTGCCATCTAGCGTGGAGTTTCAGACTCAAGAAGAGCGTCGATAAGTCGCAGCGGGAAACTTGGACGTACATTTCTCGAGAGGTCGTAATTCCGATAAATTTGTACATTGTCGGAACAATGTCCCACACGATGGGTATCTCTTTTACTTTCTTTCAAACATTCGCGCGCAAAATTCAATCTCGTATTCACGGAATTTCTATTGCTCGTTGATCATTTTTTTCTTTTTCTTTCAAGCAACAACTTTGTCTCTCGAATTCGATTTCTTTTTCTTTATATTACGTATATCAGTGCAACCTAGAACCGTCCTTCACTTAATAAAATCCATATTTTATTATGCAAAACTGATCGCTAATAACGTATCTCACTTAGAATGTGATAGAAATATCATGTAATCAATGATAAAAGTAGAATATTATCAATTCTTTATAAATTCCGAACCAGTTTTCATCTCACGGATTGAAATGCAAATAATATAATACTATCGCTTGTTGCTGCCCGGATTTATCTCGGATCGCCTTTCCTTCGATGTCGCGAGCAAGGCTCCACGATAATACATAAAATCCACCACTTCGCTAACTTCGCATTTAACCTTTGTGACGCGCCTAATCAATTGAATAGGCAAGATTGATCTAAACCAGTAATACTAGTAGTACAGTCTTCGTCGCCAGCAGTGTCGCGCGACGTTATACCAGACAGAAAGCATTTTTTTTTTTAAAGCTTCTTTCGTTTTAATAACAACATATTTTTAAATCTCCGATCGCGTACTATTTCTATTCTCTTATGAAAGTATCACTTCATCATTTTCACGAGGCAAATTTATGTCGGGTAATAATTTATTCGGTAAACGAATAAATTGTGTGAATATATGAGAAACAGTTAAGTTTCCTGGTGTAAATGTTCACTCAAAATGAAAAATAGCAGTATTTTCACTAAAACTAATAATTTCGCTGCAAGATACCGCCACTTGAAGTCGCGAGAATGTTTCATTCCAACTTAAGGCGGATTTTGACTCCGCAAGAGCGAACGTTTCGATCAATTAGAGTGAATATATTTCTGCGACGATGAAATAGGTTTACTTTACAATTTCAAATAAAAATATTCACTCGACGATCCACTCTATATGAGTGAAAAATTACTCGCAAACTCGAGCGATCATTTTACTGCGAGTGATATTTCACTCCGAGAAATCTGGAGAGGTATGAAACGCGTATACTACTTTGTATGCAACTTACCTTGCGTTTTCGAATGTTGCTGATGCGCTACTTCCTATCGCTCCGAAACCCACACCGACCGCGAGACCCTCGGGAATATTATGCACCTGATTGCAAAAATGAAAATGCGTTACTATTATGCGGACACAATTCATGTGACATAAGGGACGAACGATTACTATCTTGCAGAAATGTACCGTAATCGCTACAACTAGCAGCAATATCCTTCGCCATTGATTGTTCCTCGCCTCGTTGTTGGGATCTTCGTAAACTGTGCCAATCTCCCCCGATTCCGTCGGTCTGTTTATATGCGCTATTTGTCGACGTCTACTATTCTGTTCGTAGAAGCCTGAAAAATTAAACATTCACAGCAACGCATGTACCACGCTCCGCCCTGGCACACATTTTCAAAAAACTGAACCACAGGCACAGGAGCGCTTCATGCAAATACAATTTTTATCAGATGAAGGATCGAGAAGAGAAGGGTCTTTTTATACTGCGGATATCTTTTAAGGTTTTGACGAGCAAATGTTAGGATCAATTAGGCAGGATTAATAAGATCAGTTTTTTTCAAGCTTGTGGAACTCCTCACACAGATCCAAAGAGATGTTTTTATTATTTTTTAATTTTTAAATATGTATTTTTAAATAACATTTTACGCGGAAGTGCACCTTATATTAGTGGATGGGTTTTTTAATGTACATTTTTGGCCTTGTTTTTGTTGTTCACACTTTTTGTCACATCACTCCTTACTGGTTTATAGTTTATAATTTTTAGGTTTAAGAGCAATATGTGTGTGTGTATGTGTGTTTAATTAGTTGGAAGTCGGGTATTTTTATTTGTAGGTTTAGTTTGAACCCATGTACCGGAGTTCCACATATTCTCACTACGAACAACACCATGCATATACTAATACAAAGCTTGGGATATTTTGGAATAAGTGCGTATGTCAATCATTCATATTTCTCCTATTGGACATTATTTTGCAAACAGGAAACTATATCGATTACAACTAAATACAAACAAAATATATTTATCCGGAATAAGAAGATAGACTTTGATATAATAAATGTGCGGAATTAATATTTAGACTTTATTAAGCAGACTATATTTGAAATTTAATCACTTGAGCAACAGAAATTTTAATTTCATAAAAGTAGAACACTTGTGCTTCAACGCACATGATAAATTTTGATGATAAATTTTGTGTCTCAACTAATCGAAAGAATAATGAATTTTAAATCGAATTAAAGAAAAATATTATATCGAATAGATCTGTCTGTATTATGGAAACTTTGAGTGAACAAATTTCTGAGCAATTTTCACAATTTTGTCCTATTATTACTCTTTACGTAAGTAGTTTGAATCATGCTACATGCAAAGGTTCCAACTTGTGCGTCAGTTGTATCTTAAGACAGATCGATATTGGAACATCGCTTCTCACGAAGATAGCAAAAAGGAGAAGAATGCTTATCCTTGGATAAAAACCAACTATATCTGCGACAAAGCAAAGAGGGGCGAGTGTACACTGACGTTTATATACATATATAGGCATATGTATATAGAACGGTATAGTATATCGCGAACTGATCCCATTTTCCAAGCCTACAGAGAGGAAAACTGGAATTTTACGAGAAGGATATGAAGTACCATCGATAGTGGTCGACTCGACACTAGTGTACATTTTTCCACTTCCGGAAATTTGTACGTCGTTAAACGGAACATTATCGTCTAAGTCCTCGTCACTCTTTAGTTTCGCAATGATCTTGCGTCTTTGTTTCGTACCAACTGATTGCATAGCTAAAAGCACATTGGGGGACTGAATGCCGAGGGTAGATATCAACACGTCCGTCCCGTATACGAATGCCGCGCCGATGACGAAGCCAACTGCGACCGGCACGAACGCGTACTCGCCGTTCGCCCCGTATATCTTGCTCTCGGTTGCCATTTCGATCGCTGGAGCCAGCAATGACCAGTAACTTGCGGCCACCATCACGCCGCCTGCGAATCCCAGGCTGACATCAAGGAGCTTACGCTAAAAAGAAAATATGTGATCTTTATGAAATCTGCAACTCTCTCTCTCTCTCTCTCTCCCTCTCTCTCGTATCTGAGGTAAAGAGAGTGAGGAAAGATTCTGCTATTTGGAAATTTCAAGAGTTGCGCGGGAAATCATTTTATAAAGATACTTGGAGCGTATATTACAAAAAAAAAATAGCTTCATTTATTTATACTTTAAGGTCAGAGGACGATATTTGCGCGATCCAGGAAAAAAAAATAGAGGAATAGCATTTGCGGCTGAGAGTTTCACTCTAGTGAATTTTCGCGCGTTTGTTTCAAAATTGCGAAACGATTTTAGTAACAATCTTGCTAATAATTTCAAGTTTGTTTCCTCGATTTCGTCAAGTTCAAGTTCGACTTCCGTCGAGACATCAGAGGTGCGGTACGATTATTTACTCGGTATGTACGTGAGTACTCACACAACGCGAATATCAATATCTGTGTCAATATTTCGTAAGCGTAGCGTAGCTCTTTATCTCGCGTATCATTTGCACGGAAATAAGATCGACAAGTTCTATCTACTTCTCGTACGATTGAGTTTGCGATTATCAATTAGATAAATGCACCACAGAAATTATACTAAATATTTACAAGACACGTCCCTTCCCATCGCAGAAATACTCATTATAGGATTTTTTTCTTTCACGACATATATTCGTTTTTTTACTTCAAAACAAGTTTTGCAATGCTTATCCAATTTACTTGATTGACAATGTAATTTACAGTTTACTTATGCTGTTCGGAATGAGTATTAGTATACGCTCCGTTGAATTAGAAGTAAAACTTGTTATGCAGTAGATAACGTTGAGCGATATTTACGAGGGAGAATAATATAGTGCGTTGTTTGTGTATCTTCCGCGTATATTATACCTGATATAAGCCATTGATGATACCAAGAAGAAAAAATATATTTCGCTATCTCACTATCGTATCAAGATAGAAAGGAACACAAGGAAAGTCTATAATAAAATACGTCGATTTAATAAAAATGAGTGAAATCTGATGCAAACACTATATTTGTCTAGTAACTCAGAAAGATATGACATTTCATTTCACACAAACGTTCGATAAAATTGGAATTCTTGAATTCTGACATTTAAAAAAAATTTCGCGCAAAATTTCTCCAACGTGTGTGTAAAAAATAAAAAACTTTTTTTTTATGTTATGTACAATTTGTGCCAAATTTCACCGTGGTCGTCCACATAACCTTACGCAATAACGAGATGAGATATAAACACCAACGTCCGGACACGTTCCTAATTCTGGCCGTTCCTGTTGTTTTGATTTTTAAATATGTAAACTTTACACGCAAAATATATGTATTCTATGTTGAAAGTTGACATTGTTTCACATTTAAAGATCAAAACAACAAGAACGTTCGTTAGGCATTGGTATTTTTATCTTAGGCGAGTTTCCGCAAATCCGGGGTCGCTGTGTAGCGAGTGAAGCTCGTAATGGAGGTCATATCGTGCGAAGGTGAACCTGGCCGTTATCTCGGCAAATGAGGACAAAATTTGTGCCGGCATATTAACGGCGTGCGCAGAAAAATGTGAAAGCGCGCGATCATGTTCGCGCGAATTAAGTTGCAGGAAGTAGGAGGATTAAAGTCGGAGGAAGCGACGGATTATGCGCGGCCGCATCAAGTCCGTAAGAAGACGACGACGTCGTCGCTGCTGCGCCTTGTCGATTTCATCGAATCAACTCGAAATCTAAGTACGCCGTGTAACTGGCTAAAGAAATTTCACTTACACGAGCAAACGGACGATATAGTTCAATAGGAAAAGCAGCTCAGTGAGCACATTTCTTTGTGCCGTCAACAGTTTTCCGCTGGACGACACTCAGCGATTTACACTCTTCCGACATGTTTACTCGGTGGTTCAGTTGAACTATTAAAAGTATACTGGAGAAAATGGCGATCGCTTAGTAAACATGTTAACGAAAAGCGTAAATCGCTGAGGCCTTTCAGCAGAAAATTTTACAACAGTTAGGAAGCTGTGGCTGGCAGCGCAAAGCTGCCTTTCAAGCTGATTTTTCCGCTCTTGTTGACGACTGTTCATGCGACTGTTCGGGATGCCATTTTTCTTTACAACGAACGACGCTACCTTTTGGAAATGTGTCTCGCGCCTGAGTTCATTCGTATCGTATCGATAATCGACCTCATGTTCGACGCGCAACGCTGATTGGTCCTTCCGCTATACGAGCTGAATATCGCGAGAGCGAGTCCATGATCATTGGAATGTGACCATTTCTCATCACTTTTGACAATTTAAAAATTGCTGGAATTTGCGTTATATTCTCGGCAGTGTGATTCAGACGATCGGGTTTTGTTTTCTCGCTTGAAAGTTATTTCATTGGGCCGACGTTAATTTGTATTCTGACAACACAGTTCCGAAATTCACTGGTAGTACTAAAAATCTATAGTATCGTAGATTATAGATTTTATAGAGCCTATAATTGATTCTATCTTTAAAATATAATAGATTATTGAACACAGTCAAGTATCGCGTCTGTATATTAATTGGATTCAAACCGTGTCGCGCGAATAAGCTTGCTTTCATTTCATCGTAAAGCATAATTTACGATTGGAGACGAGAAAATGTCTGAACGAAACAGATTTAGCGAAAGAAAGGAAAAGTGTGGAAAAAGTGCAAATCGGAAGAACGAGTTAATCGTGAGACAGTGTAGAACGCGCGTCTAAAGTGCTGCTCCGAAGAGAGAGAGTATCTACTGTAAACGACGATGCGCAAAAGAGGTTAAGTTTGTTAGGTGGAAGGACGGGATCGTGTTTGACGCATGTTACAACAGGAACGTGGCGACGCGAAAGAGCGTGAAAAAGAGAGGTACAGACGCGAGAGCAATCGCGCGCGCGAAGAACAAACGGAAGTACTAACTTGTTTCCCCCGTATGACGATGACGAGCGCGGCGCCGGCTGCGGTGAGGGCCCACGTGAACAGGGTCCCGAGAAGTGCCTGAGTGGTTGGTGTGTGATCCTTGAGCATCCTGAGCGTCCCTACGTCACATCGAGCGAGGAGCGTGGCTTATATACCGTCAACGGACGGTGGCGAGTCACTGTACGGGAGCGCGAGAACGAGCGAACGATCGACGAAAGAACGTCGACGGAATTCTGTCTGAGCACTCAGTCCCCCGCGCTGCTTATCTCAACCACCGCGCGCACCACCGACGCATCGAGACACAGCACTACTACTGTTACACACGTAGGTACGAACGTTACCGCACCACTACGGCCGTATCGCGGCGCATTATCGCCCGCTGCCTCGTCATTCGTGACTTCCGAATATTCGTTCTAATTGATTCGCACGCACATACGCGTCTGAGACCGGACACGACGATGTGCGTGGATGCGAACGTACATGTGGGTGCGGACTGTGGCGGAAGCGGGGTCGGACGCGCGCGCGCGCGCGCACGCCTTCGATTTCTCTCCCTCGCGATAAGCAGGGTTGGTCACGTCCGTGACGTATGCACGTACGTCAGCACTGTGCCAGCGCGGCGCACTACACTACCGTTCTCAACCAATCGTCATCGGCCAGTGCATCGGTGCTGGCCAATGTGATCTACGACGCGCGGCGAGGCCGGTTATTAACGATGCCAAGGTACTCGCCTTGATCGACAATGCTCGAAATGCCGGTGAAACGCCGAACGTCACGTTACACTTGAGAGAAAAAAAAAAAACACCCGGACACGTCGCAGCAGACGACGCGCGCCGACACGGTGTCTGTCAACGTGCGAAACATGGCGTCCGCATCGGTAGGTGTCGATTATACGCGCGATCCACTGCATACTGACGCTACATGTTTTGTGTGTTCCTTTTTTTAGTCGTAGCGTCCCTCGAAGCGTTCGATTGTCCGTGTAGCGAAATAGTCGTTTTGTTACGGAGGGGACTACCGGGAGTAATAGTTCTAGTTGGCGATAGTAGGTGGAAGATCGTTTCATTCGTTTTCCGTATGTATACTAACGAAGGAAGGTTTCGTACACGATAATAACTATTCTCGGCGATTTCTCGCGGCAAAGATGAACTTGGGTAAACTGTGTTCTCGGGGCTTCATTTGCCGCGACTCTTTCCCCTTCGCGTCTTACGTTTCTTCGTCTGTGTCTCAAATACGCAGTTACACGCATGATGATTTGGTGCAAAACCGCATGATTCGACATTTCTACGAATCTTATTTGCAGGTACCTTTACTGATGGACGACGATACGATCGCTTTTGGCGAGGAGGAGGAGGAGGCTACCCAAAATGTCAACAAGCTTAAGTACATATAACGAAGACATATTTCTCAATGCAAGTGGATTACACGTCTGTGAGATGAAATATTATCCTTTATAATTCTAGACACCCGTATGTTACGCTGTTTCACTTGGCCTTCAGGATAGCAGCTGTAGTAGTTTATCTGTTTTGCGGTTTGTTTTCCGATAATTTTATAGCGAGCTTTGTAACTGTTGTACTACTTTTATCGATGGATTTCTGGACAGTTAAGAATATTACCGGCAGATTAATGGTCGGCCTTAGATGGTGGAATTATGTGGACGACGATGGCAAGAGTCATTGGATTTTTGAGTCTAAGAAGGTTTGCTCAATTCTATACATTCTGACATGTTTTTTTCATTTCCTTTCATTGAATACACATTTGCTTGTGCGCATACAGTTTGTTTATGATTTTCAGCGTGCATTACATTCAGGTCATTATCTTATTTAAAATCTCAAATCTTATGTGATCAATAAGCGAAAGGGTTGCATTTTAGCCTTAGTCCCTTCTGTCGCCTATACATCATTTTATATTTATAGCACGTGATATAACATAACTTTCAGTTATCAAGTATATATTTTTTTCCACATACATGTGTTACGTTTCACCGAGCATTGATTTAATCGGATCGAATAGTTCAAGGTTTACCAGCTGTTCTACGCCGTGTACCCTTGACACTTTCTAAATCCACCGTGCTATTACAATTACGCAATAATCGTTTGATTGAATTTATATTACCGGCGTCGATTATTGCGATGATCTAATTTGATATCCAAATTAAATCGCACGATTTTCATTTGAAAATCCAATATCTGCTATGCGCCCTGTGTTTCAGGGTGCTCAACAGAATCGCATTAACGCAACCGAGGCGCGTATCTTTTGGTTGGCTCTGATCTTGTGCCCGCTTCTTTGGTCAATACTCTTTATCATCGCGTTGTTCGGCGGCAAATTCAAATGGCTTTTGCTCATCTGCATCGCCATTGTTTTGAACGGGGCTAATCTGTACGGTTATGTTCAATGCAAAATGGGAAACGACAGGAACATCTCAGCAGCCACGAGTGATTTCTTCAGGAAACAAGTGATCCAAAATGTATATTTCTTCGGCGATGGCGCACACTCTTGATTTGTGTTGACTCCGAATTTCTCTTGCTACAGGTGGCCTCGATGATGACAAGGAGTCCTCCGACAAGTAATTCCAATCAACCGACTAATGTAATATAGATCTATACATTTGTCAAACACGGTCATGCGAAATCTGTATTCTCCTGCCGAATAATTTAACGAATCTTTGCAAACGTTTGTACATAATGATGTTAGGCAGTATCTTCTAAGTATTCTATAATAAATCGTTATTATAACTTTTACCCCTTGCTGCGTATGATCCATTGAGTGTGGGAAGAGGACAGAAAGAAGAGAAAAAACTGTTACGTTAGTACTAGTTTATTGATGCCGCAAGGCAATACATAATGTACACGGTATTTTTCCTTGTCAACAGACTCTTCCTATTACACAATATTTATTTTGTATAGTTGTTAATTAGTAACATTGCATTTATCATGTTTACCTCAGCCTGTTGTATTCTTTCTGGCAAGAAAGTATCACAAAATAATTTCCCATTCTTTCAACGATATTTAGTATTTGACTTATTCTTTGCTTTTAAATTCATATTCTTCTTCGGATTCGCGCACGCAATCGCGGCCGCTTTGCTGGATTCATCCTTTGCGGATGAATTTGAGAGGCGATCTTATACACAGTAACGAACTCGCTATATTGCACGGAGCTAACGTGTAGCCGATTGTATTTCATTACATTATCAAAACCGCTCCGAAGACGCGAGTTGTGTACGTTTTTTCAAGAAGAAGAATACAACAAACCACATATTGCTCTATACATTTCACGTCATAAAAAATTATAAAGACTAACAAGGGACACGCTACCAAAGTACAACGTACACGAAAGTTCTGGAATGATACAAAAAACTTAGTAACATTACAATTATTAGTATGTTATTAATATAAATGTACGAATATCGTGGACTTCCTTGTAGTGATAAATTTTAGTGAGTATAGATTAACGATACCAACTTATAACTAGTAGTATATTTATACAATAATTTATAATTTCGTTTCTCGCGTAACGTATTTTAGCCTGGAACCTGAAACGCGAAGCCATCAAGAAAGTTGGCGAAATACATAGGTTGTTAATAATTACATCAAGGTTTGAAAATCGAGCAATTTTCCACGAAGGTTTCGCGCTATTAGAACTCAATTGTCTTTACACATCGCTATCGCTGAGGGATGAAACACGTTAATAATGAGAAAACTTTATAGATGAAAATACCTATAATGATGTTTCGAAAGTTACTTTTTAGCCAAGTCTTTAATTTCTCTCTTCCGTAAGAATGTGTATGGTGAAAATCATACAGGTTTGTTTTACAATGGAGAAGCTAATGGTCTCCTTGTCGAGAAATATTTCCATGTAGCGAGAGGAATTATTTCGCCGAAAAGCAGTGGTTCAAACGTCGTTTATATCGTAAAACTATGAATGAGTTAATGAATCGCGCGTATCGGACGAAAAGATCTCACAATGGAAATAAGTCAGTATTATTTACAGATGAAGCTTCCCGATGTACAACATATATAATCGTTAAAATATCACCCATTCTTACCCTAAATGCCTCCTTTAACGTATTGTTTTTGAGTTTCGTGTTTAGCGCATTCAGTCGTGTATCATAATGTAAGAGAGCTAACAAACATCATCCAGTTGTACGCAGTGTGTAACGTCTCATTAGCGATACATTTCGAGGAGTGTGTGAGCCAACTTTATGAGTCTTTACCAATTATACAGTCTTTCAAATTATGCGTACTTAGAAAACAAAAAAGGATACAAAATCCTTCCTCGCTGGTAATTGCGACCTAATCGATTCGCTTGCTACAATTTCGAACGTAAATTTTACTAAAGCAACAAATATACAAATCAGAGAAAAAAATAATTTCGTATAAAAAATATTGTATAAATATACACTTTTATAAAACTCGAAGTATAAGACGCTGCACGTTGAAGCAAACAGATAATTATGGTTACACTGAAGGCCGAACAAACATTATACGAGTTGTAATAAGTCGCATTTCGCTGCCGACGTTCTAGAAATACCTAACGTGGTAACTTAAGACGTGTCCTTGAATGCGAATTAAAAATATTAGTACAATAAAATTCAAGACGTAAGACAAATGATAGAATTACGTTTACGACTAACATTATCATTGCCGTTATAAGTAGTAGCAGTAATTAATAATTTATTGTTACACTAGAAAATAATAAAAAGTGCCATAGTCACAAACGGTTTATTGGGCAGTGAAAAATTTGACGCACACAGGTATCACCGGTACTGCTGATTACACGTGTACCATTTTAATAGTAACGAAATAAATTAAGTACTCTCTCAAGCACAAAAAAAGATAGCAAATAATAATAAATGCTACACGATGGCCCTCAGTTTCGTTAACAGAAGACAAAAATAAGAAATATCGCGATAATAAAGCGAATAAGCGTTTTTCCCCGGGGAACCCCGGAATTACATGTTCAGTCCAGAAAGCAATATTTTACGTAAAGGCGTTGCTACAGAAGTAAGTCTATACGAGAGGAAACGATTATAAAACATTATTAAAACAACACAATTAAAAAAAACAATATCAAAAAATAGTAAAAAGGTGTTGTAAGTAAAAGGTGTTGAAGGAATTTAATTACGAGTAGATTACACAACGCGTTTCTCATTTAAAACTTAATACGATACTCTCTCTGGAAAATACCCACTGTTTTGCATAATATTTGCACGTCTTTATGCGCGCTCGCATCTTTTTTTTTTTACGATATTTATATATCTATGTATATATTATTCATCATTTTATATATATATATTTATATATTTATATATAATGTTGCTAATGACAGACGGTGCTTTTATGTACATTTAGTCACAGTTCCTGACCCTCGAACCACTCGAATTCAATGCAAGAAGGAACAACGCACACTCGAACAAACGAAAAACGTATGAAATCGTAAAAGTGCTCTTGGAATGTGACGTTATTCAGGTATGTCTCAACAATATTTTGTATTTCGTGATATGTGTGCGCGCGCGAAATCGTTGTAGCCAAGGAAATGCCAAAAAGTAGGACAAATTTGTTCTAAACTTCTCGAGCGCTATTTAAGTGACGCGTCGTACGTTACCGTATTTTCCGTAATGTCAACGACGACATAAATTGCGTAAAGGAGATACGATGCAGTTTTCAAACAATATAGAAAAGATGTGAATGAGCGCACGATTATTGTCCTTGCAGGTTAAAAAAGTTTACGACTTAAAATCACACGATAGAGATGTATCTGACATCATTACCGTTATAAAATGTATTTCATTGTATTTCATTGCAATTCTACAGAATTCTATAGAAGCACCGATGACATCGTAAAAATATTTGAAAATCCATTGCTTCTCACGATAACATATCCTGCAATGAGCGTTTTGGCATTGATTTGGCTTGTATTTGAAAACGTAAAAGTGCATACACTACAAGAGTCGACGATCCAACGTTAACGAACGCGAATATTTTGTGATATAAATGACGTTTCGGCATGAAATATATTCGATGAGGCAAATGACACAAACTGATGAGTTCGGAGATAATCGAACTTGCGGCATATCGTCTATCTCGATATACAGAATTCGAAAGGCATAGCATACTCGAGGTAGAAGCTACGTTGGAACTTTGTACATAAGGGTGTCGAGGGCTCGGAAGAACAGTACACGAATTCAACACATACAGTGCTCCTATTTAAATTAGTTTCCTCTTGTTTTTTTTTTCTTTCTAGAAGTGTGCACAAATTCACTTGCGCACCTTTCATTGAATATAGGCACCGTTTCCTTTCATCCCTCTTTCACTCGATTTCATTTCATTTTCGTCATCATTTCATTTCCCTAGTGGCGTCGCTTAATCTAACCTTAAAACAATTTTCTTATAAGATCTATCTAACATTATAATAGGTAATGAGAAGATCCCTACCGTTCATAATGAATATAGCATTAATAATTGTCAATTTGGCAGTATGGCAATTTTCTTGTCTCTTGTGAGCGGAAATTTTCATCTCTCTCTCTCTCTCTCTCTCTCTCACTCTTTCTCCTGCTTCTTCTTCCTTATCAGTGGCTGAGGGAAGTCACCGGGTTGACTTTTCGATCTGTTTTCTTTTCTACATCAGTAAGTACTTGTGAAACGTGCGACGCACGACGAATTCTCGCCGTTACGATGTGCGCTTCACGCATACACGCAGTCAATCGTGCGTTTCGGTACCCTGTCTTCCTCTCACAGACATGGACTTCGGACATCAATACTCTTTCGTTCCTCTACGCGATCGCTACTGAAGGAAGCACTCTTATCTTCAATAAACAGGAAAGGTTTGATCTTCGCTGTCTCAGTTTGTAAGAGGTACCGATGCACGAAAAAATACGTAACGCGCTATTTCGAGCGGGAGAGATATGGTCGTAATATTTTCAGTCTATCTTATATATATATATGTATAGATTATCTAGAGATTAAAAAGTGTGTTCTTGTTTGTATTCTTTTGCGTATGATCGATTCGACGATATGTGTTCCAATTCACTAAATCGCAAAGTGTGATGAGTCGTAAGCGTGACGAAGTGCCGTCTCACAATTTTGATTACGTCGTCGTATCGTTGACCGAACGTGAGAGAGAACGTCTGGAAATGGGAAGGGTTTTCGACGCGAGTGTAAAGAAAGAACTGTTCGTACAACCACGCGCGTATCTCTAAGCGGCAGTTTTGACTCGCGCACTGCGCGAGGGAACTTTCGGAATCTAATCTCTAAACGGTTCGATTCGGCCGCTGTGCTGCGCGTCGTCAAGAGTGAAAATTTCCGTGGCGGGGAATCTTGCAACCATTGCAACACCATTGACTAAATCGTTTCTATGTCGAACTGCCTAGCAATCGCGTCGCTACTACTGTCCTTGGAAGGTACGTGTCACACGACTTTATTGTACTAGACACGTCGTACTTTTGCCCTCTCGATATCGCCCCGTTGCCGCTTGTCCCTCGACAGATCCCTCTGCTCGCGAGAGTCGGCTTGTCAGTTGGCGTAGTGATCGAAGGAGCCTAAATACTCCAAGCTAGATCGATAGCAGAACTGATATTGATCCTGCAAAAAAGGATGATGTATCGGAGGGAAAACACAGACAACTCTGATATTGTACGAACCTCGGTCTGCACCATAGCCGGGCGTTGGGTGCGCAATATTCTCACGGTCTGGAAAATGTCGACGACACCCTCGTACTGCATTCGCTCCAACACGATGCTGAGCGTAATGAAGACACCCGTCCTGCCGACACCCGCGCTGCAGTGCACGGTGATCGGTCCGTCTTGGCCGAACTGCTCCTTCGTCTTGTGCACCTGACCTATAAAGTCGATGAAACCGTCGCCCGACTTGGGGACACCCTGTTCCGGCCAGTCGATGAACTGGAACTGCCGAACCGTGCGGCTCGCGCCGTCGCGCGCGTCCGTCACCTTGAATTCGCGCAGTATGTACTGCGGCATGTTGTACTCCGCGATCGGATCAACGACGAAGCACTGGTAACGGATGGATCGGTCGGACGGCCAGTACTGGTGGCACTTCTCCCTGCCCATCTCCTTCAGTTTCGTCAGCATCACGACGATCGTGGAATTGTGCTCCCACAGCATGCGCCAGAAGTCGTCGGTGGTGTCGCACAGAGGACCCTGTGTCGCTATGTAAGCTCCGCGATAGCGATAGCCGTCGATCAGACTGGCGTTTATGTAATCGGATCCCTCGATGTTACGCTGCGGCTGCAGGCACACCCTGGTGCACTCGTAAGGCAAAATGTGGACCAGACGATTCTTGTGCTTGTTGCACGGCAGATTCGCGGATATAAATCTGGTCGAGTCGGCCTTGATGTTGGAGAGCTTCTTGAACTCCAGCTCCATTCCGGTGATGTTGTCGATCTCCGGTTGCATGAGCTTCTGGATGTGAGAGTGCAGATTCCTCGCCGGTACCTCGGTGTTGCCGCAGATCACCGCCTCCAGCAGGGCGTCGTGTATGAAGATGTACTGGTCCTCCGTCTGCACCATGTAATTCCTCTGAGCGCGCAGGCACGTCACGTGTCCGTAAATGTCTATCATCTTCTCGTGCTTGATCCTCTCCAGCATCGAGTCTATCACGATGAAGCAGCCGGTCCTTCCCACACCGGCGCTGCAGTGCACCACCAGCGGTCCGCTGTCGGGCACGTTGAGGGACCGGACTCTGCGCAAGAACTGCAAGAACGGCGCGGGGTGCTCCGGCACGCCGTGGTCCGGCCAGGCGGTGAACTGCAGCTGCTTGATCTCCCGCCGCTCCGAGTAGCCCGCTCGGCACACTTGGAACGTGCGGATGCAGTAGGTCGCGAGTTCCTGCACGTCGCTGATAGTCACCGTCATTTGACCGTACGTCTCGGAGCCCCGGGTAGGCCAGTACTGGTCGCACTTTATCCTCGTTCTCTCCTCCAGCTTGGTCATCATCACGATCGTGCTGGTGCGCAATTCCCAACACATGCGCCAAAAGTCCCCGAACGTCTCCTGCAACGGGCCCTGCGTCGCCACGTACGCGTTCTGCTTCCTGTAACCGTCGCAGTAATTCGCGTTGATGTAGTCCGAGCCGGGCATGCCGTCGACGGTCTGAAGGATGACCCGCGAGTGGTCGTACGCGATTACGTTGGCGTAGCGGTTCTTCGACGCGTTCACTTCCATATTGGAGTGGTCCCACGTGAATTGCTGGCCCGGCTCTATCGACTCGTACTCTTGACTGAACTTTAGATTGTCGTTCGCCTTTAAGCGTTCGATGTGATTGCCCAATTCGCTGATAGGTATCGGTGGATGCGAGATCATGCCGGGGGTTTGGAAGTTTAATCGGCGCATCTCCACCGGATCGGACGGCGCGTGATTCGAGCTGATATCCGCCGCCATGAGCGGCCGCGTGACAGCCGCCTGATCCGGCGCTTTGCAAGGTTGCCTCCGTCTGAAACAGATAGTATACTTCGCATTACAGATAACATTCGTTGTACGTACTTCGCATTACAGATAACATTCGTTGTACGTACTTTTTGATGACGAATAACAGCACAAAGCAGACGCTGACCATTAGTGCCGCTATTATGGGACCAACCACCCACAGCATGCCCGGCTCTTGACCGCTAGTTTTCACGGACACCTCTGGATTTCCATCCGGGGGTGTGTTGGGATTCGGTCGACGCGGCGGCTCGCCGGGAGGCACTTCCCTCATGTCCAGAGACAAGTACTCGGAAAATGGTGACGACGTGTACAGGTGCTGAAAGAAAGAATTTCCTCTTCTCAAACGCGCGAAAAACGCCAGTCGTTAATCACTCTTTACCTTTCGCGGAGTGTCGACTACAGCCCGTACGAATATCCTGTACCGTTTGTTCTTGACGAGTTTCCGGTTCTCGTATCCCTCGTAGATATCTCCGCTGCCCAAATGGAACGTGTAAGGAATATCCCGGTGCGGAAACTTGGCCGCGATATAAGGCGCGTTCTCCCTCTCTTGCTTCGCACCTTTTCCCGTGATCATGTCTTCGGTCAATTCGTCCGGCTGCTTGTCGGCTGTGCTCTTGTCCTCGGGCACGACGATCAAGTAGTAGTGCGAGATCGGCCCGTATTCCTCAGAGGCCTGCGGCAGAATCACCTGTATCTCCTCGCCGTTCACCACGCCGTAAAAGTCCGGCTTTACCATCGGCTTAGGCGCGGCCATTTGCGTAGTAACAGTGATCTTAGCCGGCGGTCTGTATTGAGAGTCGCGCGGTACGGCGCTCACGTTGACGTTGTAAGTCGTGAACGGCTGTAACTCGTTTATCGTCGTGCTCGTTACTTGAGGATCCAGAAGGATCTGCCGACGCGGTACGATCTGCGTCTGCGTGATACCCTGCGAGTCGACGAACTCCTTCACCGCGTCGAACGACACCTTGTACTTCATCGGAGTCAGTCTGATGGGCGGCGTCCAAGAGAGCGTCATCGAGTGCGTGGACGAGTCCGGTGCTCTGAGGTTCAACGGCACGTCCTCCGGTTTCACCTTCACCGTGACCTTCTCGCTGAGTCTACCCAGGCCAGTCTTGTAGCGTGCCGCCACCGTTATCGCGTACTGAGTGAACTTTTCCAGATTGATCAGGTCCGCCGATTCCGTCAGACCGACGCTCTTCTGTTTCCACTCGTCCAGGTCCTCCACGGCGGTCGTCGTGTAGAAGATCTGGTAGCCGACGATCTTCCCTCGATTAGGCACCGGCTCCCACCACACCTCCACGCTCGAGTCCGACGTCGCCACGGCCCTCACGGACATGGGCGCCCTGCCGATGTCCTTCTCCGTTATTATCGTAATCTTCTCGGAATATGGACCGCTACCCTTCGACGTGTGCGCTCGTACGTGAAACACATATTCCGTATTCTCCTCGAGATTCATAAACACCGCCCTGGTCTTGGTCATGTTCCTGTCGATGGTGGTGGAGTGATCGTTCTTCTTGTTGAATTGCACATCGTAGCTGATTATCTGTCCGTTCCTGTGCTGTCGTTGCGGTTTGTCCCAGGTGACGCACACGGTGTCGAGAGTTTGGAAGAAGTACGACAGATTCGTCGGTGGTCCGGTCGGCTCGCCCTCCGGGCTGAACCAGTATCGCACAGTCTCCTGCCCGTAGCCGATGTTGTTTTTGCCCGCCACTCTGAACTCGTAGTCCACGCCTTGTTCGCCTGTGGAGAGAAAACAAAAGTTCGAGTTTTGCGACAGGTAGAGCGAGTGGTATACATTTTGCTTACCAAGATCTGTGATCTTGTACGTATGCTGATTTACGTTATCGATGAATTCCTCTTTTAGTGTCTGGTTCTTTATACCGTAGCGGATACGGTATCCCAGCAGATTACCGTACGTTTGAGTAGGTGTTGCCCACTCGAGCTCTAAAACGTCGGGACCTCTGGTAAGGACTCTGAAAGAATAAAGTAAATATTACGTATCGTCGTCCGACGCGGAGTGAGAGATAGATTCTTACTTCACGTTGACCTGCGGTCTGTTCGGCACGCCGCCCGGTGTCTTGATATGAACCGGTGCCGAACGATCCCCGTCTCCTTTTCTCGTCAGAGCTGCTACCTGCACCGAGTATCTCGTGTCGGGTTGCAATCCGGTGATATTCACCTCGAGCACGCCGTCCTCGTGCACGTCTCGACGTATCGGCTCATTCAGCAGGTCTTTCCCCTGATCAAATTGTACGTGATAATCGAACGTTAACCCTGAAAATTTCAATTCGCTCGCCAACTGACCTCCTCCCTCACTTCCTGCACGTGTATGTGGTAGCCGCGTATAACGCCGTTCTGATCTTTCGCTTTCGGCGGCTTCCACTTGACCCGTATCGCTGTCGAGTTGATGGCAGTGGCTGTGACGTCCTGAGGATCCCCCGGCACTGTAACGCAATCCATAATCAATCCGTGCACTTCACACCCGCCCCGCGTCACACTCACAATCGTACTCTCATGTATACCCGCAGACATACGTGGACAGGGAATGATATAACATAATGAGAATATACAAAACCTGAAAACCAAGATCCTCGAAAGAGAACGCGCGATTAAGAAGAAAAGAACAAAGAGGGAAAAATCGCGTTCTGTCCCGGAAGATCGTTGTACGTCGTTAGACGTATTTACATTTTACATCCCAGCAAAGAACAATATCGGTAGTACCCCTTCGTCCGTAAGAAGGAAACGTAAAAGAGGAAAAAAGAGGAAGCGAAAATCCGTCTTTTTACAACGCGCGAGACAAAGAATGTTTCGTTCACAATTCGTTCGTTCGTCCGATTCGTTGCTCTGTATCGAAATGAAAAGAAGACTCGTCGCAACATAGCGACAAAACGAAAGACAGCGGTGAGATACGATCGGAACAAAGATATCAGAGCGGTTGCAGAGAAATCATAAGTAATTTAAGGTGATGAACGAAAGAGAGACGAATGGTAAAAAGAAGAAGAAATTGGAGGAGGTAATTACATGCCGTCAATCACACACGGACAAAACGACGTACAAACAATATTACGAGGCACGTTGTACCCCATGCTCTACGCCCCTGATACGATCACGATCCTCCATTTGAATACCAATAATGCTTTTTTCTCTCTTTCCTTTTTTTTCTTTTCTCGTGTTTCTTTCATCTTTTGTTTTTCTCGGATTTAGCGATTCGCCTTCGCGTTTACGTAGGAAAGCGCGCGCGCGCCCGCGTAGACCGGGTTAAAGTAACGTGGACGATAACGCAGCGGCAATATTGGAGAGTCCATGACTTGAGAGACCAAGTAGACATTAGTTTAGTTGCACTGCGAGTTTTCGCGTATGGGGGTGTGCGGAACAGTTCGTCGAGGGATGAAATTTACGGCGAGGCTGGAAGCCGCGCGCGAGTCTCGGCGGTAAATACGCGCGTCGCCCTGTTTAACGCGTTTATTTACAACCACGAGCGACCGTTAAAGTTAGGCAGTCGCGACGCGTTTTGCGCGACGTCGGAGTCGCGACTTCCAACGACGACGACGGGTTTCCACAGTCCGGAAGATGAATCTCTCATGGACGGTCCAGTATTCGTCGTCGCTGTAACGAACGTTGCGAGAGAGAAATGGTAACGTAAAACGGTGGGGAAAATCCAAATTCGTATAAGGAAAATCTGCCTAATACCTACTTCCGCACGATATGTAAACAGTAACAATACAGCTCTCTACGATGGAAGAAGGTTCGCAAAAAACGAAAGTTGCGCCGCAACCAAAATACATACAGAAAATTCCGACGCAGAACTGAATCTCGTCGTAGCGCGACTGATGAGAAGCGATTGGTGGATCGCGTGCTCGCTCTGCTCTAGCTCTCGTTACGTATACACACAATCAATGATGAGATCAAGATCACACTTACAACTTCGCTATGTAGCGCAAAAAACAAGGGTGGCGAGCGCGCAGCCGCGCAGCGTTAATGTAATGTAATATATATATATATAGGTAATGTAATATATCTCTTAAGATTACATCATATAATGTTTTCACGCTGGCTGCAGCAAAAGAACATAATCATTTTAGGACGGCACTTGGAACTCTCGACAGACAATCGAAATAAGGAAAAGAGAAAACAGAAGAGCATATGTACATATATATGCAAAAAATTAGACGGAACGAAAGAGTGAAACAAAAGTAGTATATACGGTATAGAAAAAATGTCATATGGCACAACTCGAGACGAGCTAAGGGATACTCACTTTTTTCAGCTGCGCCCCAAAAGTCGCCAAAAAAGTGGGAAAAAAAACTCGTAAAAATTCGTGTCAATTTCGCACGTACATTGAGTAGTAGTATTACAGAGTAATTCAATTAATCTTTAAGGCATATCAATAGGTAGCACACTACTGATTATCATCAACGTTAAAATTGACCCTCTCTATAATGGCTATTTTCGATTTTGCGATCCACAAAAAAAAAAGAAAAAAAAACAAAAGAACGAACGTACATAGACAGAGATGTCTGTCCATATCTCTCTTGTCGGACCAGACACGCGCGCATTCGCTCGATTCGTCCTTTCGTTCCGGCCTCATGCGCTCGATGGCAGTCGCACCGCTTATTTATCTCGCACTGCTAACGAATGTCGTTGGACAAGATTCATGACTCCAATCGATCGATCGTTACATAGACCAAAAAAATGATCGCTTGGCCCTCGGTTGCAGTTGGTCGCAGAGAGGCGGGAGACGTGAGAATATCTTTTTTTTTTTTTTTGGCATGCGCAATCACTACTCCAAATATGAAATAACTAAAGGCTCATGTTCACCTGTCTCGTGTCGGGGAGAGAACGCGTCAAAACTCGTTTTTTCTCTCTTCCTTCCCCCCCTCTCCCTTGTCTTTCAGGAGATTTTAGATTATTACGTATTAAACGGTGATTCACTTCGCGAAATCACGACGATAATCGATCGCGGTGACAATTTGGAACGCGTCCCTCCTCCTTTTCCTCCCCGACACGAGACATCAAAGGGGAAGACCTATGATAAAATGCCTACGAAAAGAAAGCTAGGAGGGAAAAACCATAAGAAAGAATAAGGTGGACGGTTTCTAGGATGTATCAAATGAGAGAGAGAGAGAGAGAGAGAGGGTTTCATCGTATTACTACGGTATCTATCAGAAATGGACGATCGTGAGAAAAACTCGCGATTTCTCTCGCGTGTATGTACGCGTGTATAGTCAAAAAACTCACGATAACAAGATCGGGATACATGTCGGTGGGTTGGAATGTCTTCTGAGGAAAAATTGTTTCTTTTTCTTTTCTTCCTTTTTTTCTCGCAACTCCAAAAAGTCACCCGCAAAAAACAGCAGCTCGATCAAAAACTTTTGTCGTTTCAGCAGAAGGGGAGGCAGGGTAAATTAGAGAGAAAGAAAGAGAGAGATAGAAAGAGAGGAGGAGAGAGAGAGAGAGAGAGAGAGAGAGAGAGAGAGAGAGAGGGCAGCCAGGTGAAAGAAGAGTAGACGGAGCGAGAATACTGCTCTTGGGCAGTTTGGGTGCCATCGAGAAGTATCTCATTATTCGTCTCCCCTTCGTCTCCCTCTTCTTCTCCATCTCTCTCTCTCTCTCTCTCTCTCNCTCTCTCTCTCTCTCTCTCTCTCTCTCTCTCTCTCTCTCTCTCTTCCTCTGCCTCTCTCAATGTCAACATCCACCCGCGCATTCATCCACGCAAAAATCACAAAATTCCGCGTAAAACGCGCGCGTAAATGCGTTTCGACAGCCGTTGCCGAGACACGGCGTGCCGTTTATTTGATTAACGAATCGTGCTCGCGTACCTGTCAATGATCGAGTGTGGTCGAACTGTCGATGACGTCTAAATGTCTAATCCAAATTGGCGGAACTAGTTGGATCGAGCTAAAGGAAACGAAACTGTCATGAATCATGCGCTTGTCGGGACATAATAGTGATATAGTTTACGTGAGTCGAGTAAAAATGAGAGAAAACAACAGGAACATCAATGGATCAGCCGAAGCTCAAGTCGAGACTTCAAAAATACGCCTACAAAACGAGCGTTGCTTGTGAACCGCTGCTTAGAAGTTGAGAAATACAAAAGGAAATAAACCACATTTACACATACAGTGTGGCAATGATAACTTCTCTAGATATATATCCATGTGAAAACGTGTGTATGTGTGTGTCTCTCTCTCGAGATGAACGATATGTCACGTATAAAAAGAGATATTGCATATGGCGTTTAAACAGTATCTCTTACGTATAAATGTATATCGAACAAAGTATTATCTGAATAGTAAAGTACTGGCGTTTGACTTACAGAGACAGAAGATGGAAACGGGTCGTAGTTTCGCATGCAGAGAGCGAAGGTATATACGTAATATAGAAAACGGCCGTCGAGAGTGGTTGTATCATTCCAACGAATTCGATTACGTATGAAAATTAATGGAAACCGATGCTCACGGTCCTCAAGTGTCCAGATTTTCGTCCCCGTACAGTCGGCGCGGCGCGCACGATAAGTTCTCTCTCTCTGTATGTAGGCGGCGGCGCTTCGCCCGCGCCGGCCACTTTACGCGCGACCAGAAATCGAATATTCAATCCGGCCATTTCGATTTTTACGCGCTTTCGAACACAAAAAAAAAGGGACGTCTCGCAGCCGGATATTAAAGGTCGTTTCCGGCGTGGGCGAAATCTGATGACGTTGACGTCGGAAGCGATTTACTCCCGTCGAATCCACGGCATTGATGAGCGTACAAACGAAAATACAAATCGGAAAAGATCTCATGAATATTGGTATTCAAATGTTTCCGCGGAAACGCCTCGCGAATTCCCCCCCTTTCCTTTCGATATCATCCGACCCTTCCTCCTCGTTTGGGCGCAGAGGAGACTTTGCGCGAGCTTCCGACTCGTTCTCCCCTCTGATCGATCACTTCCCTTGATACTTATTCTTTCGGTACATCTCGTGTACGCTTTCTTACGCGTCGTCCTTCTTTCATCCGGTATATAACCTTTTACACAATCACTCACGCATTCACACTTTCCTGTCGCGATCTCGAAGTTATCGGCATCTTCACTGGAGAAATCAGTCTCTTCTTTCGTTATTATCAGATCGGGCTTTCCGAGATCGCCTCAGGAAGGAGCTTCAGATTGCACGACAGTCAGTCACGACAGTGGGGGTGCTTTTCGTGGGTGCTTTCAGTGCTGGTGCACGTTATATAGCGCGCATCAACAGTATTTATTCAGATGTGTGTAGCCGCTGCTGTGCACGGTGCTTTCTCACGCACGGGTGAGCCTCGCCTCCTACGCATACCATCGCACATCCGACGAATTGATTCGCAAAGCGGGTGCTCTCGGTGCACAAGGGAGGTCTCGCGTGTATGCGTGCGTGGTGGGTGCGAAAAGTACGAACACACGCGTGTACGCGACTTTAGGTGCAGGTGCGCACGGGGTGAGAGACAGTATATATATGCAGCCGGTGATATTTCGGTAAATAGTCAACGATACGACAGTCATAATACGTATGCGTGGAAGATACGTATACACGACGGTGAGAATTTTTGTGCTTGACAATGTGCGAGCTTACACGGCAGGGTGCTTTCAGCAGTGCTTTTTATCGTTTCGCTTCGCTCTGCCGAGTCTGCTTCAAGAGGGTACCGGACGGATCAGTCGCTCCGTGAACGGGACAATGCCGGGAATAGGGGGTGGTCGGAGCGACGTGGCGGGGCGGGCTGGGCTTGTGGAGAAACGAAAGAGGATCCGTTCCATAATGGCGTAAGGGAAGATCGTTACGGACGCGTCGGTACGACGACTTTTCGTTCAACGATCATGACGCGACGAATCACGCTTTCAACGCAAATATCTTCATTATCTGATAAACGTTATCGCGTCATCTCTTCTTATCGTGTCCGCTTTTCCTTCAATTATACATACGTTTCCTTTTTTCAATCTCTCGCGGTCCGTTGTTTCTACTTACTCGCGAAACTTTTAACGACCGGGTCGTACCGCGCGTCGCCTCCGCGTCGAGAGAAGTTACGATTAAATGATCCCGGTGAAAATACCGCGGCTAACGACCGGCTGGAGATTTATTTTTTCAACGACTATATATACGTATAAATATCGTGCAAACAATTTTTCCTCTCGATACCGAATTCGTTGGTTCGTTTGTTACGGGCTGGGACGGGGCAGGAGAGGACGTTGTTTGGTCTGGCAAAGGACGAAAAACGTTCGACATGCGGGTTCGACCGCGGCATCCCTTCGCACGGGCTGCTCGGCAAGAACGGGGACGGGAAAGTAACAGAAAAGCAAAACTGTCTCATGCATCGGCATGCCATTCATAGGATAGATAGGTATAATGTATTCGTGTCGGGGAGCGTGGTTTTGCAGACTCGACACAGTTCGGCGGATCTTGGTAGTGTGTGGCGATGGAAAGGGTGGATACGGGTTTCCTCCTTTCCGCGGGGAAAGAGTGAATTTCCGGAATTAAAGGGGGAGCGGCTCGGGGTGGTAAAGGAGTCTTTAAACAAACGAAGGCATGCTCTAAACATGTGCAAACGATAGGTAGAACTAAATCTCAACTAAAGACAGAAGAGCCTTATATATCAGAGATATAGAAATATATATATGTGTAATATATATATAGTGAAAAAGTGCGTCATATATATACATATATATATGTATATATATTTTTTTGTGTGTGAGATAACATTCGCTAGAGTTTTTATATATATATATACGTAAGCGCTTCACTCGCAAGCTGTCCCTCGCTTTGCCATTATTTTCGTATGACGAGTTTTAACGAGTTGTCATCTCTAATATCGAATCTATTACTCGAAGAAGAATACGCGTATGGCTACATTAGTAGTCGTGGTGTGGGAAGAAGAACGAAAATAATGGCACGCAAGACAGCTAGCCTGACTTCTATCTTCATAACACGTGGCAAGAGTGAGTCAATGAACTAAAGGAGAGAAACGAAACATCTTTACTGACGTAACCACGGTAACCACCAGAAAGAACACTGAGTGTAATGAGTACATATTATTAGGTAATTGATATATTACGATAGTGTGAATAGATCTTAAAAACTAGCTGTTCAAAACCTGGATCATCCTCCTGCAAATGCTTTAAGGGAAGATAAAAACACGTGAGTGAGTATAATTAATTAATTAGCGTGTCAAAATAGAGATATCCAAGTTTTAAAAGTGGGGCTGGGGTGAAAAAAACCAACGGCAACGAACAAAGAGAGAGAGTTGCGATTAGGCCCTGTAAAAAAACGGTAAGAAAATTCGTCTCTTTCTTTACATTTTTCTTTAATAGCTGAGCTCAAAAATCGGTTATCAGCTTCTGAAAAATCCGTGGCTGCGTGCACCTGGAAAAAATGTCGTGGGCACACTAGAAAAGGGGGTTGGGGGGTCGGAGTTTTTCTTTTTTTGGGGGAGGGGGGGGGAGTATCGGGGAGAGCTAGAATAAGTCACTGGAAATTTTTTTCTTGCCGCAAAAAATCCAAAAATATAAAATCTCGCCAGCCAAAAAAGTAGGGCCATCATCGTTTCGTGTTTCGCGTCGCACGAGTGCCGCTTCGTAAAAATCGAAGGGTGGGAGTGAAGGAGGTTGCGAAAAGAACGATAGGAAAGCGATCGGAATAGAGCGTGATTGGAGAGGCACGAAAAATCCAAAAAGTCGTGCGCGCTCAAAACTTTTGTTCGCGCAAAAAAAAAAAAGAGAAGGTAACCCGACCGACCGGAAAAAAGGGCCGTGTCCGTCCTCTTTTCCTCTCTCGTCACGATGGGCGATTCGATAGTTCGTTTCTCGAAACTATAACTGTAACACAAGAGTGGCGTGAGAAGGAGGAAAGCTCATATATGTATAATATAATACAGTTTAATATATATATATATTATTGTATATAATGTAATTTAATAGAATATGTAACGCAAATGCAATGTAAGATAACGTGAGTGTAGAGTCACTGGAGGAAAAAGATTAGACGAGACAGAGAAAAAACACAGAACAGAAAGTCGTGATGAAGGAGCGAGAGAGTAATTTGGTTTCGTTTGAGAGTTGAGGAAGAGAAAGAGAGAAGAGAGTTAGAGAGAGAGAGAGAGAGAGAGAGAGAGAGAAAGGTTGAAGTGACGTTAGCGGAATCTGAAATCGAAAGTATGTATATATATAATAATGTATCACATACGTAATGCATTCACCAGATCAAGAATGACACGGTGTGTCGTCGCAACCCGCACTGGAACCGCGCGTATCATAACCGGACCGACTTTTGGCGGGCTTTTATATTTTTGGCTCTCGGATGAGGCGCGTTATTACTTCATCCCAATAATACTCCTTTTCGCGCGAAGTTTAGCGTGTGAAATTCGTAGCGAGCGGCGTTGCGCTGTTTGCGATTCTCTCTCCCGCCCGATGTGACGAAATTACACATATCTCACTCAATTCGTCGCATCCATTGGCTCGCGCGCGCGGTAACATTATCGACGCGTCAATCCCTCGCTACGCGTCACCACGGATTTTACACACGTTACTCCTCGCGTGCCTGAGATAAACAGAGAGACTTTCAGTCAATGTCTGTGATACATACCGTCCTCGTGAGTTCTGACCGAGATAGGATAACTCGGGGGCCCGTCACCTACTCTGGTCCCGGCCAGTACCCAGATCCGATACTCGGTCCACTTTTTGAGCTCGTCCAACACGAAACGCGTGTCATTCAGTTTGATAATCTTCGCCTCGGAGTCGGAGCGACCGCTCTCGACGACTTGCAGCCTGTAGTAGGCGATCCTCCCGTTGGCGCGTTCAGCGATCGGCGGCTCCCACGTTACCAATATGGATGTTGGGCTGATCGCTTGTCCGGTTACATTGCGAGGCGGAGCCCCGGGGACTGTATAACATTCAGTTATAGGAGGGGGAAAAAAACAAAACTGGGGGCGAGGGTGTAATCGGCAGTTACCGGCCGATCGTACCGGACTCTGGCTTGAGGCTCAAAGCCGAGGGTGCGCGAATTCGCCGCGAATTTACGTGACCGGTCGGAAATTCCGTCTTGGCGAAAATCGGCAGTTTCACACTTGGTCGAGATGTGTTTCATCTCTATCGTTCGCGCGAGCGGATCGAGCGACGTTCTTCCCGTATCCTCGGTTTTGACAACCTCAACGCTGAGAGACGAGCGCACAGTCGACGGTGACTGTCGAGGGATACCAACGAAAGTATACGTGACGATTGGTCAAGGTTCAGAGAGAGAGAGAGAAAGAGAGGTGTAAATACTCGAGGTAAAAAGTCATGAATCGATCCTTGAACAGTCGAAAAAAGACGTGATTAGAGACAGGTTCGTCCGGAGCGGCTCGCGTTAACTCGATGCGCGACGCGCCGAGTTAACGAGTACGTTTATTATTGCAAGGGAACGAGACAACGAAAAACTGAAGAACGGACGTAAATCATATGTTATCGAGAATGAAAAGAGGTGCCCAAAATGCACACATATATCAATGCAGTGCTTAGTGCAATTTATATGTATGATATATACGTATATATATAGATATATATATATAAAGTGGCATCCAAAAACGGCTTTCTTATTTGCAACGCATGCAGTCATTCTCACTCTCCCACACTTCACGTTTCGACGTTAATTATCTCGATCTTTTCCGTTTCTTTACGAGAATACGCTCTCATTTCCTTTATCATCTCTCTATATTGAACGCGTACTCCGGACGTAAGGTCCTTCTTATGTGGTTCTTTTCAAAAGGTGTTGTGCGTCGCGATAGCTTACGCTACTTGCAGGAGCGTCTAGCGCTACAGCACCTCCTACCTGCTGTGCCATCGCGATGCATGATTGTCGCGTCATTCCACCCCGGACAGTCTGTCACCGCGACAATCACGGATCGTCTGGCACTCCTCGCTGCATGAACTCACTCGATTTCGTTTCTTGCGCTCTGTACGTTCTGCTTACCGTACTGTTTGGTGCGGACCGGATACGGTATCGTCGTCGCGCCCTCTCCTCTTTGACTCCTCGCGGCCAGCCACACGTAGTACAAGGTGTTCGGATACAAGCCGGCCAGAGTGTAGTTTTCGGTAACCGGTATCCTGCGATGGTGCTTCTCCTAATGCGAATAAAAACGCCCTAGTTAGCCGCGTGTTGCGCATCGTTCTTTTCAAGAATGCTCACGAAAAGTTCGCATCTCTTTAGTCCCTCTGGTATCCGGACGATTAGGGGGAGGAAAAAAAAAAGAGTCACTCGTTATATCCACGACGTGGACCGGTAAAGTTAACGCCGAGAGAGATGGAAAGAGCGGAGGGAAGGGTAGAGAGGTAGTCTACCTTCGCGTAAGTGTCGTTCCAATACAGCTCATAGCTGAGAATGTTCTCAGCGCTATGAGCGGGTTTGCTCCATTGGAGCGTTACTTTGGTCTCCCCGATGTCGACCGCCGTTAGCATTTCGGGCTGGCTCGGCACCCCTTGCTGCGTTTTGATTTGCACCGGTAGACTGAGCGGTCCGGGACCGACGCTCGTGAGCGCCTGGACTCTTATGGTGTAGATCGTGTGCGGCGTCAGCTCCGAGATCGTCGTCAGCTGGCTGTTATCCACCATTTGATACTGCCACGACGCCATTTGCTGATTCGAGTCCGTCGTGTAGTACACTTTGTATCCCTGCGAAAGAGGCGCGAGACGATTAGCGATGCTTGGACGGTTCGACCCGCGGACGACCAGGAACGGGTGTACCGACCGTCACTTGACCATTCGGAGTTTCCGGTTCGTCCCACTGTATGACCATCGTGCTGGAACTCAGTGGCCGTACCTGAACTTTCCGCGGCGCTGTACCGGGTTCTGCAAGAGAGGTTATCGAAAGTGGTTATCGAAAGGAGACACACGAGGAAGAACACTCATTAGCCGTCACAGACAATGAGACAGATGAGAAGAGAAACCATAAGAACCAAGGAACGCGTGCAACCAAAGAATAGGGAGAACGAGTGCTTCGCTCCTGTAATCTTCCTAAAGTAAAGTACAACGACGTTAGCGATCGACAAACACACCGTCGAAAGTTCGTATGATTAACTACACTCCCACGTGCGTCTCAAGGATAGTGTGTGGTAGAAGTGTGAACGTCGATAAAATATACGATAATCGAATTATCAAGATGATAGGATAAATGAAGAAGTAAACACCAGCACACAAAGGAACGTATCACTACAGCACACATAGTATTATGATTTCACTTACTGGCACCTCCATTCGTCGATTCCGCTATCGAGAAAAAAAAAAAGAAAACGTCAAACGATTACTGACAATTCTCAGTGGGTAAGTGGACGTAAGTGCGGGAGTGAAAATACGAATTGCGAGAGCGCTTCACCGCCTCCTTCGTATTTCCACGGGGTGAGAAGTGTGCTACTATATTTGTAGGAAAGGTGCAATTTCGCGTGCTGTCTCTCCCCGCGTGTTCGTTTCTCGTCCCCTCTTTTGCAAAAAGGAGACGGGGAGACGTCGTGACGGAGAAAGATAGAGTGAGAAAGATAGGTAGACAGAGAGAGAGAGAGAGAGAGAGAGA